AATTCTTAAAAGGGTTCCGTCCCAGTGGCTCTGGAGTTTCCCATGTTAACCTTATGAGAAATGGAATTAATGAATCTTAACAGCTGTTTCAATTAAACAAGTTGGTTCTGTTCTATGATGTTTAAATAGCATTAAAGTTACAAGGATTAGGCCTACCAACAGGGTGCAGCACTATTATTTCTTTTACATTTATGACAACAGCTAATTAGCAACCAAAAGGTGAGTGAGCGTAGCGAACGAACTTCAACCTGGAGGCGAGTGAGCGTAGCGAACGAGCTAACCTGAAGGCAAGTGAGCGCAGCGAACGAGCTCCAACCCAAAGGTGAGTGAGCGTAGTGAACGAACTTCAACCAGGACGTGATTGAGCGATGCGAACGAGATCATCTTGAAAATTAAACCATTGACTATATAACACTACATTAAACGTAACGGTACTTTCTTTCCATCGGTGTCGGTCTGTCTTAGGGGAAACCTATAACTTAGGCGATACGAAGTTCGCCGGGTCAGCTAGTAAGAGATATAATAAAACACAAAAAAATAAATATTCAATTTTTTTTTTTGGAACTTAAAAATATTGACCATAAAATATAAAACTTCAAACGCCAGTCTATAAATTGCAAGACTTCTTAAGATTATTTATTGCTATTATGGAACGAATCAGCTATGATTGAACATTTTCTCATTCGATGTTGTTGAACATTGAATTTAATGAATCTAAATGTATAGAGCAAATTTAAAAAATAATGTTGAGTTCAAAACTAACAAAAAAGTTTTAGTGTCCTGTGTTACTATAAAGCAATAATTTGTTTTGTAATTGTAACCACAGCACTTTCTTACTAATCATAAAATTGAGCAAATCTTTAAAATACGGAACAATCGTATCTAATAAAATGAAAAAGTTCGTCAGAATCTTTAAGTTATAAAAATGATTCATGTGTGGACTGAAAAAGCTGCAGTTGCTATTATAGTAAAACGAACCTCTCTGAAAATAATACTATGAAATTATTTATAACAATTCAGAAGTCTAAAATCTTTATCTAGTAGAAATATGCACAAATCCACCACAAAAGCCTTCCAACACGTGTATAGATATCCATCTCACGTTCTCCCAAAGAGCCGACATATTTGATACCTATCTCACATCTAGAGTGTAAATCGGAAAGTAAAAGCACAGACAAGCGCCGAAACTTACTTTCATCTTGAGAGACCACCAAAACCAAAGACCTTAATACAACTAAAACCTCAAGTAATGCATCAAATTGTGCGACAGCTGGGAAGAGGCGGTGGCAAATGGCGGGAGCGGCGATGGAGATCTAATGGATGCGGTAACGGCGCGGTTATGCATGCTCCGCAGCTTCCGCAATGCCTCATGGGAACATTAACTTGGCGGCAAATTGCATACTCTAATGGTTTTATTGGGTCGACATCTCAGCTGAATCCACACATCAGGAAATGTTGCAACGCGAATTGGTTAGACAACTTGGTTGCGTATATTTAACATTGACAGTACGACGCCGCCCGCCCCAGTGGGACGGGCGGCGTCGTCCTGTAATCCAACTACTAGGAGGTCACGAATTGTGGATAATTAAAGGCATGCACTGTGGATGCGATACTCCCTGGTGTGGATTAACGTCCGCACTAGTGAGTACTACGAATACCCGCAGTAATCCTGATAATTAGACCAATTCGTAAATACCAAGGAAAAATGTGGTTCGGATTCCATTATAAACTGTAGGTCCCTTAGTCGCCATTAGCTGTATGGGCTATTAATTAACAGCTGTGTCTAAGGAATATGTCGCCTTAGTCACTAACAAGACTATACGATCGCGCCACTCATCATACACTCATCTCCATTCATACTTGGCTTAAAATACCTACTTTGTATGGTCGCCATTTCAAAGAAAAGTATAAGTATAAGTAAGTATAAGTTCACCTCAAGGGTTGGTAGTACCTGAAAATAAAGCATTAAAAGGCCGCTCCTCGATTGACTGTCAACCCATCCAAAAGGGACTGAAACTCAGACATCAGTCACGTAGGAATGATTCCCTTTTGTAAAACATGATCTACTCTACAGCCCAGACGAAGGAGCTCTTCAAGCAAATTGTTTCTCAATTTTATTTCATTGGATTGTAATGAAAGCCCATGTTGTTGTTTGAGACAATCGATATAATATGCCATTAAGGTCTTAGTAGACAAGACCGGCTGGGTAGCTGAGTGGTAATAGTGCTCGCCTAGTAATCAAAAGGTCGCCGGTTCGATCCTGTGAAAAGTCAGTAGCTTTTTGATGATTCGAAACTGGACCCAGCTGTTCCTGATCATTGGGCTTTAAATAAATGATCATGACTAATGAAACCGCTGATCTTAGTCAGTAACAAAGCTATACAGGTCATCACACACCATTCTACACTCATCCTTCACTCATATTTGGGTTAAAATACGCACTTAGGTGGCGTCCCCATCTCAACGATTGATAATTGAAATTGATAATTGACATAGGCTACTTGTAATATTGAGGTGGTTTTGCGAACCATTTGCATTATCCGGCCTGGTGAGGCTCTATAATGGTTATTTTTGTCAGGGATTAAGGGATGAAGTGACGACAAATGATTTTTGGTTTTTACAAAAGTTGTGAGATGAGTATAAATCTTGATTTTAGTGAAATTATTAAGTTACATTAGAGAGAAATTGTAAGCCAAAGTATGTTATAGAATATTGTGAGTAGGGCCATGAATGATTGGAAATAGGCTGTTCAGAGGGTAAATTTAAAAAAAGGTAGCAAAGAAGCACTTGCAATGCGGTTTGTGGCATTCAACTTTAAACTGAACTCATTAAAATTATGTATCACTGGCCCCAAGTCTATAAATATAATACTAAAGGTCGTCCGGTGGTCGAAAACTCCACCAAAAATTTGTAATGTACACGTACAGACTTATATTTTCACCCTACGCAGTAAATAAAACATGTTGGAATTTCTTCCATTTGTTTTAATGTTCTGTTTATATTGCGTTGTTATTTCGTCACCAGCCTGGCAACCCATAAGGCCCATGTTATATATTTTTTTAATTTTAAATTCATTTTTGGTGCCTATTTTTAAGTATATTTTAATATATGAAGGAATTCTGCACATCTACAGGACAATATATTTGCAACATTGTGCGTAAATTTTCCCTGAGATGCACACGAGCTGAGGAAAAAGATTTTAAAGAAACATGCTTCTCTATTAATAGATTTTTACGACACCCTCCATGGACCTCCAATGCATGCGTGTGATGGTTATTGCATAAAATAGTTAATATAGCCATATAATAATGTGTAAAATTAACCTATTCTATCTGCAATGGTTTGAAAAAGAAAACTATTCACACAGGCGTTTTTTTATGAATAGCTGATTAATTCATATTGTAAAAAAACGAGATAGTTCGTTTGCTCGCTTGTAACTGTAACAGGAAATGTAAAAAATACAGGAATCACCCTTTCCACAGTAAAGACAGATGTTTCTTTTTCAAGGTTAATGCCCTTTGGCAAGACGTTTATAAAACGTGACTAGAAAAATCAATGAATCTTTGCTGAAATATACCCCATAAACAATGTCGTAGAGGAATAAGCTATCCAGTAAATCATTCCATTCCCATACAGCCATTTTCACGCCTTCCCGGTGGTCAGTCTTGATCCAACATAAGTACGATATTACGCGGGAGTTATCGCCAATAACACGTAAGTAGTGGTCGTTCTAACCGGTCCAACCATCCGGACCAGTCTTCTCTGGCGAAGACGTAAACATCGACCTGCTCTGGCTGCAGAACTAGTTCAAGGTCTTGATGCTGAAGATTACTTGTTTGCAAAGTGTGACCATGTTGAGCATGTCGTTGATTAGTTTATATAAGTTCTAGTTTAAGATTAAGAAAGGGCATTGCAAGATAGGTTAGCTTAGGGGAGTGGTGTTCACCCTATAAATACTTAAAATAGATCAATCCTAAGGTTACCGGTACGCTGAGGAAGGACAGTAGCATTTCAACGGTTTTAAACTGAACTGTATAATCGTGACTGAAGAACTACCCGATCAATAACAAAAGCATCATATTACCCTTAAGTTATTTTCACTCTAAAACTCACCCCAAAGTGTCGATGTTGTACAAATATACTTTAGAAAATGTGTGAGAACTTCTTGCCCACGTAAAAAAGTCACTTAAATTGTGCGAAAATAAAAATATCGGAACCATTGAAATATTTTCAAGAGCCAATAAAATTTTGGGAAAGGTAACACAAGATGAACTAGAACAATTAACATAACATTATTCATTACTACCTAAAACAAATCCCCCCAGTATTCGATAAAAGGCATTATATGAGACTTAAACTAGAAAAAGAGGAAAGCACATTTAATTAATCAGCGGACTCAAATTTAACTAGACGTGTAACGCGCACTAAAACAGGCCTTAGATTTAATCATGATCTAATCAATAGATTTAATCAATACAATATTTAATGATCCAATTACAAACTATTGCCTGTTCTCTTTTAGTGACCATGAAATTATATACTGTAAAACTTATGTCAAAATACGAGACACACATATTTGCCTACACCACTGTCAAAGATACATCAAAGATACATGAAAAAAGATACATCAAAACAGGCGTCACATTAAATATAAGATAAGGTACAAGATATACAATAGAAAAAAATGAAAAAGATAACACAATAGCTCGAAAACTTGTGGATTTTAAAATTTACGCATTATTTGTATGCATTAAAAAATTTCGACTTGAAATAAAATTCGAAATCAATACTCGTCCAATTTAACAACTGGATGAGATACATACAACCAAAAGAATAGAAAACATAATAGACTTGCATCCAAAGTCAATGCCAAGAGATAAGGACCTTCAAACTCACCTGAGTGGCTGAATGGTGAATGTGAAGCAAGTGGAGGAATGAATGGGAGGAGGAGCCGAGGAGGAACCGAGGAGAAAGAGAGAGAGTGGTGGGTTCTGTGGCTTACGGAGATGGAGAAGATGCGTATATAAGTGTTGTTGGACGTGGTCGCTGTATCTGTAGAGTGTAAACCCCCCAGGAGATGGGTCCTGTCATAGCCTGCCTCTGGGTTAGTATAGTGTGTGACGTGCCGCGTGTGGATACGTGCAGTGTGGAGTGTCTAGGAATAAGTATTTAGGTTTAGTTGTTAAGGTTTTTTTAATTTCTCAAAAAAACTATACAGTACTTAATTTTTTTAGTGAAATTATACCTTTTGGTTAACATTTTGTTTATTAAATATTTTTAACGGTATTCAGTTTAATCAATAAATTTATTTATTTGACGATATTGATGTGTATCACATCTTGTGGATATCCACTATATCATGAATAATGTAAAATCAACTTAATTTTGTTTATATAACCCAAAAATATTTTTGTAACACAAAACAGCATTACAGATTATTTTACGTAGTTAATGTTAAATATAGTTAAAGTTTAGTAGCATTTAATTTAAACAGAGAGCTGTATGGGTATTTCTTATTGCTTTAACTCGTTCTCGTAGGCGTTTTCTTGTATTTCTTTGAAGTAGTCTACTATGAATATTACTGGGTACAAATAACGATGCCAATAACTATCTACCTATTCCTTATTTACTATCGAGCGTTAATCATGACTGACATTAAACTTTAAACGGTTAAGACATAACTATCAACGTCTACTAGTAGCTGTCAATTTGGTGAAGTGGCAAAACTGCATTGTAATTGTTGCAGTAATCGAATAAGTTCAAAAAGTGAGCTCATATTTATTTCTTAATAGCATTTGTCAGATGAAAACACAAACCTCGCTTAAAGTACTTATAAAAATGAAACATAGTTAAAAGTAAACCTTTTTTTATTTTTTTACACTTTATGTGTGTTTTTAACTATGATGTAAAAAGCAAAGTTAACTATTGACATATATTTTACTTTCCAGTAATTGTATCCATAGTCAATAACTTTTGGATACAGTTTACTTTGACTACTAATAAGTCAATCATTCATCCTCTCAAATTATTCATGTTTACTCAATAACACAATAAATTAACATTCTGTAGGTGTACTGTAGTGTGGAAAAAGAAAACATGCTACTAGGACGGTGCTTTCGATTCAATACTTCATACAATGACAAGAATTCAGAGTTTAACATTGGTTGTCCAAATGACCGCAGACCTTCGTGGATTAAACGCTCGTTTCTCAAATAATATCCGATACTTAATCAGCGGGAAAGCGGAGAAAATTGGTCCTACCTCAACTACCAATCGTTCGTTCTTCCATTTAATACTTTCGAAGAATCTAGGGATTTCAACTTTTCTTGGCTATTTTTGTTATGAAATATCACATTTTATTGGGTTTTAAAATGTTAGGCCTATATTCACACTTAGTAGAACAAATTTTTTACCGAATTACTTAACCAGTAAAGGCAATTCATTGTACTGTATAAGTGATCTTGTGTTTTTGTAATATAGGGAGCAGAGTTTTGAAATAATGGTTTTAAATTTACATAATTTACTATGGAATCAGATTTGAGCCAATGCAGTAAGAACTAAGCTTTCACAAGTGAAAAATCGGCGTGAAAATCAATATATAGTTTACAGATGAATTCGTATCATATAATATTCAGACTAATATACATTTTCATTAAATGGTTTTTGAAATTTCCTGGTTCGTCTAAAATACTACATTTAATGGGGTTTTATTTTTATACTTGTACTTGCAGGAAATCATTTAGGTATGGTATTCAAGTTCTGTCAATTGAGCAGAAATACCCAGTATACTTTACGGAGAAGCGGCTTTTGAATTCAGGGGTTTCGGAATATACACTATTTTAAGATTTAATAACTCCTCATAACTTTATCTCAAATCGGTGAGAACATCGATAAGGGGGCTATTGGTGAATTGCTATAAGATGATATTCACTCTGATACACAATTTAAAAAAATGGCATTCGTTTGTCAAGTTTTTCATTCAATCCTGATTGAATAGACAAAATTAAGAAACGCGCATAATAACCCCATCGTGAAACAAAAGGCTTACATAACTTTTTGTTTGACTTCTTTGTGGAAGTTACAAAATAGCTTTACGTGCTCTGTCTTATCTCGACCGCACAGTAAAGTGACTTTACATCTCCTAGAGTGTATTGTAAAAGTTACTGTAAAACACGACTAGAAAGTCCAGTCAAAAGTAATTTATTGCTAAACCCCAAGCACATAAACAAGGTAATCGGTGGTCCTGAAGATCTTTGATGGAAATAGGATGCTATAAACATAAGACTCTCGAACGGAGAAAAATGAAATCTGGTGAAATGTTTTTATCTCCATAGGCATCTTTGTCGTGCCGACTAAACGATTTATATCTGTTCTTTCACTTGTAAATCGGGAAAGTCGCGCGAAGAAGCGTCACTGTAGTATCAACTATTCGTTGCATATGCAGTTTTTTTGCATTGATATGGCCACTTATAGATATTTTGCTTCTTTTAAGTTAAATCCATAATATTACTAGTCCTTAGTTGTTTATATGATTAGTGAATTATACTCATTAATTTACTATTGCATTTTATAACGTGTAATTTAAAGTATAGTAATTGAGTTTTGAGGCCTCTACTTTAAATTTACAAAATCAGCATTTACGGTACTGTTAGAATAAAGAAATATAGATATTTTGAATTGTTTTTTTCAAAAAGTTTGAAGAGAAATTTTCCTACAATTTAACTTTTATTTACTGTCAAATGTTTAAATTGAATACGGTAACCATTCCTTGAACTTAAACGTACAAATTAATAAGCGTTACTAAAATATTTTAACTTTAGCCAAGGGTTTAATATTTTATTCAAATCTTAGAATAAAAGTATTGTTGGATGACATGAACATAGTCTGATGACCTTAATGACGAACGTACATATTGCTACATATTGCTTCATATTGCTACATATAGCTTCATATTGTTACATATAGCTTCATATTACTACATATTACTTCATATTGCTACATATTGATTCATATTGCTACATATTGCTGCAGTCAAATGACGATTTCTTTTATCTTTTTTATCAAATTGCGGACACCTCAATGTGCTTCGAATCAAGCCCTTTCTAATTTGTAATTTAAAAAAAGTGTTTTTTACAATCGACACCAACATTGATCATTAATATAAAAGTAAAATCGACACATAATTCGACATTTAGAAACCCCTTTTCTCGTTTGATGAGCGTAAAATGATTTGACTAATTTGACTAAAATCATTAGGATTAATTTCTTTAGTCTCAGGTACTACAAAATTCAATTTGATATTTGAATTTATTTTTTGAAATACTCAATTTATATATTTGTTTTAACTCAACTTAAAAAAATTTCATGGGCAATATCTAGCAATAATTTTCAGACAGGAATATACATAAACAATATTTAAATACAAGTTAAATTTACAATGAAAATGTTTCTGACATGATAGCTAGTGTTTGGTGTTCATGCGCCATTGCACAGTGCCATGGTTCATGGTGTTCATGTTCAAGAGCCGTAGCACCTGTTATCAAGGTTCAAAGAGAAGCATTGAGCCCGTAAATCGCCGATTGTTCCGCTAGAAAAGTAGAACTCCCATACTGATTATCATCTTTAAGGACATATAATATATCAATACAAAACTGCTTACTTATAAATGCTAGATCCAGACTAAATAAGTAAATTTAAGTCTATTTTACATTTTAATGTTTCCCATTTATTTTGTTTAATGTTTAATGTATGTATGTTTTACATATTTTGTTTTGTAGTCCCATTTAATGTTTTAAGACAGGGTTGAGTTTATACAAGAGAAGATTTGTAGCTTACCTTTAAACTGAAAACGTAATCATTGTAGATAACAGTGCAGAATAAGAGATAATTTTATTTTAGTTTTAAAATATACAGTTTCTCAATAAAGTGACTTGCCCCGTCAATCAATAAATTTTATTACTTAATGATTAATTAAATACAAGATAGTAGAATAAATCAAATTTTGAATTTCCGTCTTAAAAATGTGCTTACATGGAACAGTACAAAGCTTAGTTTGCACCTTTATAAATTATAAGCAGGATAAATAAAAGTTTTCAACACTTAATTTTGTCCTTTTTATAAATTTGGGGGTAAACATTTTGTCATAACCAACCAAGCATTAGGGAAATGATAAATCAGTTATAGTATTTTAAAACAATCAATAAATACTACCTTTGTGAGCTAAACACTGGTTAAACGAAAAATATAGTGATATAATTCATCACAGATTAAACATACTCCCTTGTGTTGCTTAGTCTCGGTTTCATTCAATTCTAAAAAAATCAATTTAATATTGATAAACAATATATTGCTCTTATAAAATTATTTTTAAGACTACTAACAAACAAAACCATAATTCACTTACACGTTTAACAGTACAAAAGATACTAGCTTCACCGTGCTCATTTCGGGGTCAAGAACGAAAGTAAGAATGAAGATAAAAAAGCGTTTTCAATGCAAATAACCAGAAAGTACCCCAGTTCTCACAGTTTCACGGCATTTCAATGTCATCCTGACTGAAGGATCCATCCTGCGATCCTGCCATCCTGCCATCCTGGTATCCTGCCATCCTGCAGGACTCGTGATATACAAACCAGGATAACTTGCATAAAACGACACTTCCTGTACAGATACACCTTCTGCGTGTATCGCAGGACACTTTCCACCAACTAATTAATTGCCAGTATTTCCTTACGGTGAAAGCGAATTTCTTCCATTGTTGTTTTTATTGCAAAGCCATTGTTAACGCCCTATTCTCCCGGGTGCAGTGTTCGATTGTAGCTTATTGTTTGTTATGTAGCTGTTGCATGCGTGTAACTAGGGTTGGCTGTGAATGAATTCATTTCCGCCTTTCCCTGAAAGATCTTCAATCTACAATCTTGAGCCTTTTCTGTAATTATACATTGTTCATCTACATTTTTATCGAATTGTATATTACTCGAATTTAATTTATTTCGGCATCTCAATGATACCATGTAAGTTGTAACCTTGGATTGGAAAACAACGGACTCTCATCCTACTCTAAAAACCGAAGATTGCGCAGATGTTAAGCTTTAGGGTAGATTTTACGATTTATGCTTTACTTTTTAAACCTATTCCAACACCGCAACTCACTTTCTAGGCTAACGGAACATAATAAATTTGTATTATATTATTTAGTGATACATTAGTGGTTACTTGATACATTAGATACCTAGAATACAGTGATAGTTTTTTATTTAATTTAAACTAAAAAATTTCACAATGTGTACTACCTGTTTTACCTGAGATCCCATGTTTATAAGGACATGTAAATACGCAAAGAGTATTTCGTTTGATTAATATTTCATTTTGTTCATTTTTTTGTCAGTGCCATATTTTAAATAGTTTTTTAAACCTTTTTTTAACGTTTATTTAGCCAGGGGGGGCTGTCCAAAACCTGGGCTATGAGTTTTTGCTACATCGTTAATTAATCTCAGTGACAAATTACATCTGCGTCCAGTGTGGATCGAACCTGTGACCTTCAGATTTAAACACAGCGTTATAACTACCTAGATACCCAGATATATTTTTTTCGATTTTTATTTCAATTGCTGACTAAAAAGGCATCACATAGAAGTTAAATAAATTGTATACCTTTATAGGGTTCCATTACTGTAAGTTTTTCTGACGTTTGTCAACTAACTGATGACGTTTCAGGCGCTACTGCTGGTGACGTCAGCAGTATGTGGCCCAGTGCCGAGCCCAGCGCCAGACCCAGCAGCCAAACCCGCCGACACCAGGCAGAAGAAATCGTGAGTTATTTATTGTTTTTATAATAATTTTTTAAGTTTAACCTAATGAATCGTAGGGAAAACTGAGAATGTTGTGCTAGAAGGTTAGCTCCATCGTCAAATTAGATATTGGTCTTCGAGTGAGACCGAGTCGGTTAGGATGTGTAAGAGCAACCCATCTTCGGGGAAAGCTATTCAATTGATTTTTTAGTTTCAACATTAGTTGGAGTTTAGTTTTTTAATTCAATTAAGTAGAACCGTAGCTTACTCGGAAAATGTACTGCGATTTCTCAACAAATAAATCATATTTAGTTAGGATGTTATAATAGCCCTCAAAGTTTAATGGTTTTATTGGTTGTCCGATACATAAATACCGCAGAGTCTCGAAGCACATCTGAAGAACTATTAGCTTAGTAACCCCTAGTAAATACCGTTGTTAAAACCAAGAAAATGTAAAAACTCTCAAAAATTGTATTGGAGACATTTTTAGGTTGTATTTTCTGACTTGCGACAAAGATTTGATATGGAACAATTATTCAAATGCGTAAGAAATTTCTGTACAACCTTAAATAACTTTACGGAATCAAGAAAAAGGAAATTGTTACCTACATATATTTTTAACAAACATTTACAAAAAACAGTTGTGACAGAGGGAAAAAGTTACAGTATATTGTAATTTCATTAACGTTAAGTGAATGCTCTTAAATTACTAAGAAAATGCACAGTAAGCACTGAGAGAAAGCTCACCCACGAAGCCGATTGTCAACAATTTATAAACAAACTTGACCTTTGAAACATCGGAAAATCGCATGCTGATGAAGTTTTAAGGGGTGAAAGTGGACAATGTGGGAAGTAACCACAAATCGTGATGCATGACCACGTAACGTAACGACCGTTGGGGAGTCACTAGAGTCGTTATAGTAACGGTCGTTAATTTAATGGCGGGAATAATCATCAAAGACCCTTCTTTAACGGTTTTAAGTATTTGGATTATGATTTATTGTCAACAATAAATTTGTATCAATAATATCTCTAATACCTACTGTATTGATAAACGATTTGGTTTCTACAAAATTAATCAAACATTATTCCTTTTCACCACTCTGATGGTTCAGATATTACTAGTTTACACTAGTGCTAGTAGTTCACACTCACCGTTTGCTGACAAGCGGTTGGAGAAGAGGTAGGAAATGCCGACAAAGAATGAGAGATTTACCTCAATGATAAGGAGACAAGTGTAAGTCTCATCGCAGCAGAACATAACTTTGTTAATTGAACGCGCCAACAATGGTTCTTGCAATTATCTCACTCTCTATCAAGGTTGTTAGCTTCCACGATAGAGAACTTACGACGTTGCCACGATTCTACAAAGAATCAGGAACAACATCGTGGGACGTTAGTGATTATAAAAGTAGATGTTGTTGGTTATCTTTCAAACGAAATGTCTTGGTATTAACTTTTTTCAAAAAAAGTTCAACATCTCTCAACTCCGCAGATGTATTTTTAACTTTAACTGTACATTTCAAATAAATAAGCATACATGCATATTTATCCAACGTCAAAATCTTAAAATATTAAATTGATCAGTATTAGAAAATTAGAATGATGTTTGTTATTAAAACAGATTAACTGTGTGGCCCAAAGTAATTTTAATGTAATCACCTTGTCTAATAAGGTTATTTATGTTGCAGGGTTGACACACAAATCCAACGGAGAGATGGAGGAGGAGGTGGCTGGGACTCCGGTGGTGGAGGAGGTGGAGGATGGGACGTGAGTGGAGGCGGCGGTGGTGGCGGAGGAGGAGGATGGGACTCTTCTGGCGGCGGAGGCGACAGCTATGGAGGAGGTCATGGAGGAGGAGGAGGAGGAGGAGGGGGTTGGGATTCAAGCAGTGGAGGTGGCGGTGGCGGCGGCTGGGATCTTGGAGGAGGCGGCGGCGGTGGCGGAGGAGGTGGATGGGACGCAAGTGGAAGTGGTGGGGACAGTTATGGGGGAGGCCATGGAGGAGGCGGCGGGGGAGGCTGGGACTCAAGTGGAGGAGGCGGCGGTGGATATGGAGGTGGTGATGGAGGTGGTCACGGAGGCGGTGGCGGTGGCGGAGGATGGGACTCAAGCGGAGGCGGCGGAGGATATGGAGGCGGCGGTGGCGGCGGCGGTGGATGGAGTGCCAGTGGTGGAGGAAGTGATGGCTGGAGTGGCGGAGGAGGTGGTGGCGGCGGCGGCGGTGGACATGGAGGCGGAGGATACGGAGGAGGTGGAGGTGGAGGTGGCTGGGACACAAGTGGAGGCGGCGGCGGTGGCGGAGGATGGGACTCAAGTGGAGGCGGCGGCGGATATGGAGGCGGCAGCGGTGGTCATGGAGGTGGTGGTGGCGGTGGATATGGAGGCGGCGGCGGTGGATATGGAGGTGGCGGCGGGGGAGGAGGTGACCATGGCCATCAACACTGTAAAATAAAGAAGAAACTTGTGTGGAAGGACGAGTGGGTAAAAATCTGGAAAACAGAAGAAAAGAAAATCTGGAAGACAGAACAGAAAAAAGATAAAGTCCCGGTATGGAAGGAAACACAAGTACCAATCTGGAAAGAGGTTCAAGTGCCAGACTGGAAAACTATTAAAGTTCCAGAAGTGTTAAAGAAGGAAGTCCCCGCTTGGAAAGTAGAGAAAAAACCTGACTGGAAAAAAGTACAAAAACCCATTTGGGTGGAGAAGAAGGTACCTGCCTGGAAAGAAGTCGAAGTTCCAGCTTGGAAACAAGTCTGGATCCCCGTCGTTATAAAGAAATGTATCCCAGATGAACACGGTTGGGACAGATCAGGGGGATGCAAATGGGTCAAGAAAATGATTTGGAAATCAGAATGGAAGAAGATTTGGAAAACTGAGAAAAAGGAGATTTGGGTTACGAAAAAAGAGCTAAAGTGGAAAGAAGAGTGGGTAAAGATTTGGAAGGAGGAGAAGAAACAGATCTGGGTTACAGAGAAGAAAATGATTTGGAAGGAGAAAAAGATCCAGGTTTGGAAAACTGAGAAAAAGCAAGAGTGGGCCACAAAGAAAGAACAAGTATGGAAGGAGGTTTGGAAGACAGTTCAAGTTCCTGCTATAAAACATATTCAAGTGCCGGCGTGGAAGAAAGTCAGTAAGCCAGTGTGGCACGAAGCATGCGTTCCAGAGGAGCATCCCGGTGGACCTTACCCTTGAAACAACTCTTCCTATGAGTTCGGACATACTTAAGCCAAATTATGTTGTACTAACTTACCTTAAGTTCTCATACCACCTGTTTCTTCAGTGATACGAAACTTAACCAGAAGAGGATGTTCCCCTCACCTCAGTCTCTCATCCTCGTAGATTAGCTTCATGTTGTTAATTATTGTTAATACTTCCTGTTCTGTAAATATTGTTCATTTGTGTACAAACTGTTGTTATATACATTTATATTTTTGTTATAGTCTTATTTTTTGACAACCTTAATACTTGATACCGTTATACTATGCATAGTCTGGTGCATCGTTGTGTTTACAGGGTATTTAAAAAAAGCAGTCGGGTTTGATATTTTAATGTAAAAATATCAAAAGGCAATGCCCAATTCTCTAACTCAGTATAAAATCTCAGAAGAAATAGTACCAACTAACTGAAAAAAGTAAAGTTTTTAAATTCAGAAAATAATAGTTTGTTCAGTGCTTTACACCAATACTTTTTGGAGACCCATCTACGATAATACTAGAAGCCCTATAATCTTCTATATAATTAATACGCTACATGAAACTTTGTCGGTTGAACTCCTCCGCCATTTCTTAACCGATCTTATCCATTGACGTCTCATTGGAAAGAGCGTGTCGCGTAGATTTGCAAGCTGGCCTTACATTTTTGAAAAGGTCCCTTGGGCTCTGCCCCAGTGGCTTTGAAAGTTCCCATGTTATCCTTATGAAGAACATAATTGTTTACATTCTGATCAGCTGTATAATTTAATTGCTTTTATTTTTCAATTCAATGAAACGCATTGAGTACATTTATTTACTACTAGCTGTACCCGCGGGCTTCGCCCCGTTTAGCTTCATAAGTATTTGCATGGCTCATTCACGTCCTGGTTGAAGTTCGTTCGCTACGCTCACTCACCTTTAGGTTGGAGCTCGTTCGCTGCGCTCACATGCCTTCAGGTTAGCTCGTTCGCTACGCTAACTCGCCTCAAGGTTGAAGTTCGTTCGCTACGCTCACTCACCTTTTAGTTGGAAATTAGCTGTTGTCATAAATAAAAAAAAAAATTAATAGTGCTGCACCCTGTTGGTAATCCTTGTAACTTTTATGCTGTTGAACATCATAGAACAGAACCAACTTGTTTAATTGAGACAGCTGTTAAGATTCATTAATTCCTTTTAAATATGAAAAATCATAAGATTAACATGGGAAACTACAGAGCCACTGGGGCGGAGCCCGAAAGGGTCTTTGAGATAAGAATATGCTTTAATGTTAATCGGGAATGTGAGCTATCATCATGCCAAATTTCAGCCCAATCCGTCCAGTAGTTTATGCGTGATTGAGCAACAAACACACACACAAACACACACACACAAACATACACACAAACATACACACAAACTCACAAACTTTCAGATTTATAATATTAGTAAGATTTGAGTTTGTGTAAACATAACCCCCAAGACGGATCGTGTTAGTATGATTGTAACTTAAATTTGTGCATTTATCGTTGTTTTGTGTAGCTATAATTTGTTTATTTGTTGTTTTTTTGTCTTTTAAATGCCCCCGACGCGACGACAAAGAAACATAGACAAGAGGCGTAATCGTGATAACGACCTCATCTATCGCTATTGTATTTGCTATTGTAGTGGTGCGTAATGGCGTAATAGGCTTAACTCATCAGTCATCACAGTCAGCAACTGACCCTGGACAATCTCAACTATTAGGTTACAAATGCGTCCTAACACTACCCCAAAACGACTTTTCGTTCTCAATTGTCCCTCTATCAATTACCTGTGTTGCCTGGACAGCGAGGCATTTTGAGAAGGAGAAAACCAGCCGAAATGCTTTAGGTTTATCAATAACGAAGATAAACATGGTCTGAGCTACACACCGGTAATCTTTGAGTTGACTCTTTTAAACTCATTGTAAATATGACTGTTATTCGTTTTGAAATAACTCCTGTAATACTTTGCAATTGCTCGAATTCGAGCAACATGTACACTAGTCAAGATAATTTTAAGTAGATTTGCATAGATATAAGTTATATTTCCTTCTAGAATTATCATGTATGGTTTCCAATTAAAATTATTGTTAAACAATGGAGAACATTAACAAAAAAAAAAAAAAAAAAAAAAAAAAAAAAAACTGCAGATAAGAAGGAGGAGGCGCACACATTTCAATGGAGTGTACGTTAAAGAACAACGTTTTTAGCGGGCCCGTGCAGTTATTTGTTGGGGAAATTGATCATAGAAATCTTCAAGTTCTCAAAAATTTACACGTGTTACAACTTTTTTAGTTTTTATATACTATTGTTTACTCGATGGAATTTCCACTAGATAATATTAACAGTTCCCCTATCTATCTGAAGGGAGCAGCTCTGCAATTAAGACACCTTATAACAATAGTAAATATAGTCGTCGTTTAATCTCCGGTGCGTGGCGCACTATGATACATTTTCATGCTCATGATTCTATGCTCATGTTCATGCTCACGTCTCCATGCTCACGGTCCGGTGATTACACTGAATGCTCACGCCACCTTCATCACCAGCCATTGTCAGGTGATTTGCCAGATAATGTCCTATTGTCAGGTGTCTTGGGTAGCTTTTATATGTTTCAGTAGACCAGCTTTTACGCGTTAACAGGAGGGATAATTTGAAGAATTTGTCACTCAATAATAAACACAACCACCGCCGTTCTTGTAAAATTATAATTATTTTTTCACGTTTGCTGTATCCTGCGCGAAGTTAAAATAATCATGATGTGCATGAAAAAGGAAAATTCTTTATATAGGCCTGCAGAGGAGTAAACTAAAGGTGTAGCAGGAAAGAAATTAATTTTTTAGTTTTTCCTGTTACAAACAAAGCTTGAAATTGTTGGTAAAATTAACGGATTTTGTAGAATTTTGCATAGCCACCATTCTTAAACTGTTAAACTGAAAAATATTTTGCAAAAAAGCGGCTATTAGGAAAAAATTAGCCGACCTGTGGGAAGCATTTGCACTAACTCCTTCTCAAATACCACATAAAGTACCAACATACAGTTAATTCTGCGGAGTAAGTGCATTGTTGATTTCAGGAATAGATTTTCACAATATATTGTTAAGTCATTTACGTATTTACATGTTTATGGGACCTATTTGAACACTATATTAGAAGTAATAATATGGGCATATACGATTTTTTTTACCGCTTTGATTTTACACAGACATAGTTTTCACTGAAAAAGCGCACCTTTGACGAAGCCACGAAAACTGAATGTGTAAAAAACAGGGTCTGGCACGTGCAATCCTTCCTTCGTTAGCACGTCTAGATGCCTTATTTAAAGTCATGGCATAAGTAACTTTTAAGGGAAATTCCTTCTAAGTTACTTTGAAAGGATTGCGGAATATTGCGTAGTATGACAGTTTGGCCGGAGTCAGCCAACTTCGCTTTGATAGTGTATGTGCCCAAGTGAGCTATTATACAACCAATCTTGGACCATGCTTAGGTTTCTCATCAACATGATAATAGAGTTATTTTTAACATGGGTTCATGAGGTAACGAACCTAAAGGGCTTAATGATAAAAAAAACTCTAATTGATACAGCAGGGCGTTCTACGTCCCTTGGTAAAGAACCGAATCAAAACTTTTAAAAACCGTTTCCTGCCAGTAACAAATTAGACATAACATAACCATGCATTGGAACAACCTTTAGAGAAAAGATAGGTGGTGATGTTTGAAGATGGAATTCTTAAATATACATCGAATGGTCGGTACGTATATCAAAATGAGGGCTATGTCGTAAATAAAGTAATATAAAAGCTAAAGAATCCATGCGGTACTTACTTTTGAGTTTATCTTGTTTAGACTTCTCTAAAGTGAATACAGTAATCTGATTTAATCTCCACTGTTATTTATCGTAGAAAGCACAGACTATGTTTGTTTGTTGTTTTTACTTAATCATGGATAAAGTAAAAACAAAACAATCGGATTTGAGAAATAAAGATTTATTTCTTTTTATTAATTTAATTTACATGTTTCAGCTGATCAAATAAAGTAAATAAACATTCCAAGTCTAAATCACTTACACAATGATAATATAATACATCGTGTTAACGAAAAACTACTGAAAATTGAGTGATTTGTATATTTTCCCCGAGTAGGGGGTAAAAAAAGCTTTAAAAAGACGCCTTATTTATGAAAATTGATGAAGAAATAAGGAAGTTATAGCATACCAACAAATACCCCCGCCGCAGCAAACCTGCAGACTAAGCGAATTTCCATTTCCCTGAATGGATTTACACTAAAATGTCTCCTTAAAAATATCACATTTATTCCCTATTTAAAAAGAATCAGTTTAAAACATACTTAGGTTTGCTGCAACAGGGAGGGTAAAAGTGTTTTTTATGTAAAATGTTGATAGTTGGTAAGAAATAAAAACATTTTCCAAATTTGGGCAAAATATGTTAATAAACAAGCAAACTACAACAGTTTACTTATTCTCCATAAGAATAACATGGAAATTTTAAATTTACAATTTTTTGGAATTTTCTCCGTAACTATTAGGCGCATTATAACGCTTCAATATACTAAATTATTTGTTTTTTTAAGCTCTACAAAATAGTTTAGAAAGAAATTGCAAAATTTTATGTTTTTTGGGTCAAAAATGGGAAAAACCCATTTTTACCCCATAAAAGCCCCCATAAACCCCCGTTCCCATGGTCCGATCATGCTGGTTCGCGAACTCGTTCGAATAAACGTAGGTTTACACGTTTGTACCAAATTTCATCAAAATCGGATCATTTTTGCTCGAGTTATCGCGCTAACGGACACATATATAAATATATATATATATATATATATATATATATATATATATATATATATGAATTTGAACGGATGGTGGCCTCTAGGGACCTCAAAACGAAAAAAAAAATCGGTCCCGGGTCCAGGTCTTACCATGAGTACTACGGTAATAGCTTATTCCCTATATGGGAAATTCGCTAAAAAGCACTTTAGAAATTATAATATCTTACTAATATTATAAATGTGAAAGTTTGTGTGTTTGTTTGTTTGAAGTTAAATCACGCATCAAATAAATACTGGACGGATTGGGCTGAAATTTGGCATGATGATAGCGATAGCTCACATTCCCGATTAACATACAGGCATATTCTTATCTCAAATATACTTTCGGGCTTAGCCCCAGTGGCTGAGTAATTCCCCATGTTAACCTTATGAGTATTCAAATTTAAAAGGAATGAAA